AATCAATAAAATTATTGAAGAATATTGCGGACGGAAAGTGCAAAAAAGACACGTTCCTCAGAATATGTGAGGCAACCGGAATACGCCATGCTCTTAAGCTCTTGTAAGTCTCACAGAAGTGTTTGAATGGTCACAAAGTCATCACAGATACAACAACCTACCACATCAATATCGTTATCATCAAAGACACTACCTTTTGAGACGGGACGGACCTTCTGTAAAATAGATAAACCGTAAGTAGATACTGATTAGCAGCTTATACCTTGGTTTATATGAAAGCATCATGGGCTGCTGCCCAAAAATTACCTCAAAAATTTTGGGCGTCAAAAATAATCGGCTGAAGTTCTAAGGAAGGGAGAAAGTTGAAAGGAAGATCAAGGAACATGAGGAGGCAAGAGGATGAATGAAGAGGCGAAAAGGTGCTCATAGTAAATACCATGGAAAGAAGAGCAAATAACTTGAGCTTGTTTGGCTATATATAGCCAGGTGCTCCATGAATGTTACTTCAAAATTCAGGATTGTCGAAAAGTATTACTAGAAAGGTTACGGTAAGTTGAAATCCCAAAAGCGATTCTCATTGGAAAGTTGCTTTCAATAAGGAAGTACTACTACATCTCTTGAAAACCCGTTCCACGATTCGGGTAGGGAGCTCCCTTTAAAAGTCGCGTTCTTTGAATAGTGACCATTAAAAAACAAACAAATCCCGCCCTTCTTACGAATACCACTACACAACACACAGTAATACATCATTGTGAATTGCGAGTTTTGTGTGTACGACGTGAATTTTGATAGATGACAAAGGCGGGGGACGGGGCACCGCGAGTGATAGCGGGATAGGGGAGAGAAGATGAGAAGACGTTGCACAGAACAAGAAAACTCCACAGGAAAGCGGATACAAAAACCCCGAAAGTGAACGCGGGATAGGCAGATGGCCCCGATGAGCGACCAAAATAAACCGCAACGTCTTCAGCAGCCAGCGAAAAACCTGATCAATCAATATTTCAACGTGATGCTCAGATCAATTAAGCACCATCTTAATGTATAGTAATCGACCGATGAAATCGATCCCCATTAGGGATCCAGGCAATCGATGAACGAGTCCCGGCTACTGTAGAGTAGGGCACACTGCCGCCAGCCGACCGGCCGAGGTCGAATGGAACAACCAGATTCCGTCGCTGTCGTCCAGCTCTGCGTCTTTGCTCTCTTAACGGGCTCTGCATCTCTGCGCATCACCGCATTCCCGCATTCCTGATAGGTCTCTCATCGCTACCGTACCCTGGCTCCTCCCACTTCGTTCGTTCTCTCTGATCAGCGCCAATCTCGGCCGCACTCCTTGATCAGTACACTCTTTCCGAGACCGTTTCAAGTCTGCAACTCCTTGTGATGATCGTTTTATGGCGGTGTTTGGCGTGTGTCCAAGAAATTTCAGTGAAAATACTTTTATGAATCTCCACGAATCTCATACAATGGACGACAATTATTATCATATCACAAATCAATTCCACACAGATCAAACCGAAAATCGATACTGGGCGGAGCTACGGAACACGTACTACGGTAACTGGATGGAAAAGTCGTGCAAAAGCCGAATATTCACGATTTCGTGAGAAAGCTCTTCAACTGAAGGCAGCAATATGGAATGGCCATGAAATATTAAAGTCCATCGAGAATCAATAAGTTCTTTATCGATTGATCATTTCTAAAGCTCTGGACAAATTAGATCTACAGGTCGGATTCGCTGATCTTCTTGTTGGAGAGGAGCAGCGGCTCGATGTACGGTGGTGGATGCTCACCACGCTCCTTGATGAACTCCTCCCATAACGTCTTCAGCAACGCCAACGTAACCATTTCACCGGAATTCTCGGCTGAAATTGAATGCATGAGCCGTGGTAAAACTCGGGAAAGTAAACGGGAAGAACTGGTTACTCACCGACAAGCCGTATGAGAAACACTCCATCCACACGCAGCTTCTCGACGACAAACTGCTGGAGAAGCGACCGCTTGTGTAGACTGCGAGCCACATTCGGATCGATCTGAAAAATGGTGAGACTAGTCCTTGAAAATAGAATTTTGACAGAGCGTTCAGTGTGCCAATTAAGCACCTTTGCTAGTGGCTAGTGAAAATCTTGAGGGAAAGTTGCCATGAAGAACACTAATGGACGAAAGCGGTCGTGCGACGTTTACAGAGGGAGAGGGGGCAGGGTTATGCAAAAGACAATGACCACAGAACCAAAGTCCTTCTTGAGCTGATTGCTGTACCGAAGGGAATAAAGGGGTGTTCGTCTCATAGCCCACCGAAGTCTTCTATGTCCACTTTCGTGGACCCTTAGCTCTCATTGTCTGGTTACGTAGCAAGTAATCAGGTACTATTATCAGGCTTCTTTTGGACACCACTACTGTCGAGTCCTGCGAGATCCGTTCGCGGTCACACTTCTTAGATACCCCACATGCTATAGCCCAAGCGTCAGATCTAGTGAGCTTCCTGAACGCCTTCAACATAATGGTAAAATCCAGTCATGGATGAAGGTCAGAGGTTCTCAATTTCTCAATCTTCTGCTTCTTCGACATCTCTCAAAACGAAACGATGAAGCTCACCGCAATACGATTGGAAAACCTGTGGTTGGTTGAGAAATCAATTATTGATTGAGCATCCAGAAAAGGTGGTGCTTACCTGTTGAATATAATTGTTCACAAGTCTTCTGCCGGTGATCGAAGTGGTGCCGGTGGCGATCGCCCACTTGATGAAACTGTACACACTGAAAAAGCCCGCATGAGGTATTTGAAAAACCAAAAGGCATTTGAAATTTTTTGAAATCGAAATATTTTTTGGTCTTCTATAAAACTTTTCTAGAATTTTCAAAATTTCCCGTTTCATTTTCGCTCTTTATGGAGGCCATGGCGGCAACCACGTTTACGCAGGCACAATAAGAAAAAATGTTCAAAAACATTTATGGAATCCATTGACGTTTTTCATCCTATAATAGGATAGTAATAGGGGGGCACGTTAGTGGGAGAAGACCAATGGTCCGAGTGACTCCGCCCACACGATTACCTTAAAAGCGCCCCGCAGGTCACATATTTGCAAATCTATCCAAAAATAATGAGTAAGAGTCGATCGATAGTCGACTTGACCTCTAATGTTTGCACTTGTAAGTGTGAAAGTGATGCAATAAGGTGGTTGGTAGAAAAAGAGTATGAGAAAGTTCCCATCAATTTTTTGTAGGGACTCTGACGTTTTCACTTCAAAAGTACATCTCTTTCAGTTGGCGGTTGAGCCACACATTCTGGTTACATAGTGGATCGCCGGAACGATTATATGGACCTAGAACTCAAAAGGGCCATGGTCCAGCTTCCTGAAAGAGAATTTAGCGTCCAATCAGTTAAGCCAGCTCACCAGTGAGGTCCTTGATCAGTCAGTGCAGAGGTAAGTACTGAGAGTGGCCTGCACCCATGCCTGGCACCCAGAAGACCACAAAAACAATTTAATTTTGCAAAACTCATCACTCCGTAAGGGAGTGTGAAAATATTATGATTTTTTGAAGCTTTCAAAATATCGTAGTCAATCCAAGCAAGGCTGTAGTCCTGCGGAATGCTGCTCACCTGACGATCAACATAATGCATAGCCAATACCATAAGCGACGAAATCTTCTCATTGAACATATTTATATCCAGACGCACTGCGCTTACGTAGGTCATGTTAGATTTCATTACTATTCAGTATAGTCGACATTGTATCCTAAATTTTATCATGTAGCGGAAATGCCAGCGATGCGCTGGGAAAGGGCACAACTAAGATGGAGTCGGAAATAGGAGACACTCGGGCTTAGAATCGAGACGGTTGGTGATTTGAGATATCATATTTCAAATTCAAATTCCTCTCGTTAATTTCAAGTCGGAAGTCGGAAATCGGAAATCATAAGGATTATGGACGAAAGCCAACAAGAGCGGAAATCGGAGACAATTCTCTACGGGGCACGATTTTCGATCCTGCCCGTTCAGCCTGCCTCCCTCCATTAGTCCCAATGAAGCCCATTTCTTCCACGATCACTCCTCGACTCACCTTGGAAAGTTGCCAGTTTCTGGCCATTCTCGACCGTACCACAAATCCAACGACACGTCCAGACCCCATGTGTACGACTTCACACCGAGCACATTCTTGAGGAATATGAATTGGAAGACGGCGTTCAGCGCATAGAGGAATTTCACGATCTGCAATTGCGGCCATAATGCGTGACTTTTGGGACAGCCGCCAGCTTCATCGTCTAATGCTCACCACATAAACGATCGTAATATAGCTACCACTGGTGAGTCGTCGTGCTTTGCCGGCTTTCACTAACGCGACGGAGTGCTCCTGAAAAAGGAAAACTATCGGCGATGACGTCATTTTTGAAACGTTGACGTCATTCGAAGCGATGACGTCATTTTGTACCTGAACAAGAAATGCGGCGATCGTTTTCATGTTCTTCTGTCGTGTAACCTCGTCCATATTGGCATGCATACTGCATGTGTCACATATGGCTTTCACCTTGAAACCTGAAACAAAGTGATAACGATCGATTCCCATGAAAAGCATGTGATGTCACAAACCTGAACTCTCGTAGACTGAACGCCATATGACAACGGGAAGATAGAAAAGAATCGCCTGTGCTGCGAGTATAAACGGTACCCACTGGTAGTAACCTGTAATGAAAATAGTTCCTCTTGTTCCTGTCAGTCATTCGATCATCCGTTCATACTTACCGATTTGCTTCGCTTCACGTTCCGTGTGATTAGAAGGGATTTCAATGACATGTTGGGCAAAATCGAAAGCATTGTGGACTTTCACATCGGTCATCGGTATAAAATACGTATTTTGTACGTAACAGTAGTCTAACGCGTATTCCATCCACCATCCTGTAATCGATAATCGATCGATATCTACTGTGCTAATGGAGAAGCATCGTTTTTGCATTTCCATATGATGGCGTCTCAATAAATGCGACGGGCGTGCAAAACATGCAAAAAAGCCCTGGAAGGACACCATCGAAAGAGAATTTCAGTTTTGGCAGAGAAATCGATAATAAGAAATTCAACCGATCAATAAATAAAAAAGTTTAAGGAAGCTAGTAGAAGAAAATGCAACGAACTTGTAGTAAGCAGGGAACCAGCACTGGATTGGTGAGCCAACAAAGCTGAAACCATTCAGCGATGTGTAGTGATAACAATTAATTATCACGAATCAATATCAATCAATACCTCCATCCGGAGATGAACGCCGATGCCAGTACAAGCCCGACAGTGGTCACGCAGTAGTTAAGGCGATCGGCAAAATCGCCGTCGGAAAGTGGCGACACGGCCGACAGAAGGCCCTGTACGACATTCATCCCGTGGCTAGATGGATAGCGAAGGCGTGATACCTGCAACAAAAACGGTGCTTGACTTCTGGGACAGCCTGGGAACGTTGAACGCGCTAGAATGTTTCACATTATTCAATGACATTGTTTAAGATTACTGCCATGTATGCACACAAAGAGATAAAAGGATCATGGCCACTACAGTACGATTCGCTGCAGGACCCACAAAAGTATTCCAGCAATATTTGCGCTCGTGGCACACGTATCGGTATGCAAATACATACACACATTAACCATGAAAGGAATGCATGGGTAAACCCGTTTACGGCGAATACAAAAGCAATAGAGGAATGATCGATCGATTAAAAGGGATATTGATCGTTTCGTGGTAAGCACTGTTCGAATCGATCGGTTGTGTATGTATGTGTCTGTGACGGTAGAATCGACGTTGACGGTCGTCGTCAGCTCGTGGTGGGGGCGGGGGCGCGCGGTGGCATTTTCATGCTGGTCGTTCTCTCGCTCTTTGCATTCTCTTCACAACAACACACGATCAGTCGATTTCTCTCCGAGAGAGACGATCATCGCTCTGCTTCTCTGCGCCTCCTCCCTCTCTACGGAGATCATCTGTAATGAGATTCACGACGAGAGGCGTGAACAGTGGTGATGGTCTTTCAGCACGGGGGTTTCGGAGAATGAGGGGTGGGAGGTGAGTACAGCTGACAGTTACAGGCCTAGGGCAGTTACAGTACCCGGAAAAGTACAATATAGACAGTGAGAGTACCTTTTACAAAGTACAGGAGTAAGCGGAGGTGGTGTAATGGCGAGCAGGCTACTTCCCATGCACATGGCCTCGGCGTCAAGCCCTGGATCGGGCATTACCCAGGTCAAACTAGCTTTCTATCCCTTGATTTTTTTGGTCTGTTATGTTTGGTGGCAGATCTGTCTAGGAAAATAAAAGCACTAAATTGTACATCGCCAGCAAGTCACTGCATGCACCAAATCACTTTCAAAATATTTCTGCGAACCTGAATGGTAATAGAATGCATGGCGAATCCCAAAAGATGTTGATCAACCCAAACTTCCATTCTTTATCCTCCATATAAAACTAGGAGGGTTCAGGTTGCACAGCGGTCAAATTGACCAAATCACTATGGATGCGCCGTGTACTCCACATTTCCGAAACATCAAGAGGTATTTGAATGTGTAAGTGGCCTCCACGACTTACTTTGCCCAGGGTGGCCTATGTTCCCAACAGCGTCACATCTAAAAAACGTTCTAAATCAACTAGCGAATCCCAAAATATGAAGCGTTCGATGGGCTGGCTGGTACTGAAAGTAGTACACGGATCGAATAAGAGAGGCAGGTTCTGTTGCACGATCGCTGAATCTAACATTTCCACAGCACAAGGAAGAAAAAAGGCCCAGATGGCAGGCGATTGCTTCCACTTTGACTTTCGAAAAATGACTAAAGAAGAAAAGTAGTTTGAAGTGTCAACTTCGAGGCAGCTCCTTCACTAAAACTAGAGCACCCGCCCCCCCCCCCGCTTTAACAGAGGTTGACACTTTTTGTCAGTTTTAGGAGCTTGATGAAGTTCACCAGGCGAACTGATTACGTATTGTTTTTGCAGCGGTGACAAACGTTAGCCTCTGACTCACATCCATGGTCAAGCGTGCGTCACAGAGTTCTTAACGTAGGGCGGAGGAGTTGTATTCGACGGTGTGAGGGTCAAAAACTCGAGGAGTGGGGTTGATTTGGAAGTGAAGGCCGTAAGTCGCAGTGCAGGGGGTCGTTTTAAAGGTTCTTTTTTCAAAATTTTGAGGAAAATTCGAAGAAATAAGCGTAAAATGGTGGAACTTATAAGGTGTCGGTTTTTTAGACGAACTCATCCCACCTGTCTTTCCGCTCGGCTGTCAATCGCGAGGGTGTGCGCTGCGAAGGGGTGAAAGGAATTTCGATAACGAAGGACTCGCTATGGCCTATGGTGCCGAGGGGTCGCATCGAACCTCTCGGCATCATAGGCAAGCGGGGGGTCATGAAATCTTTGGAATCGTAACAACAGACGGTTGGTCCTGCTCACATACCCAAAGAGTCGCAATATGGAAACACTAGATGGTCTCAAACCAGGGTGCCACTCATTTTATCTTATCAGTATCATGAGCTTTTGAGGAAAACATGAGCAAACCGGGTAAGGCCGATGTCAGACTTTGCGAATCGCGCGATTCGCTAGCGTCCGCGGTCGCGTTGCGGTACCAGCCAATTGAGTGATTCACTGGCCGCGACGCGACCGCAGACGCTAGCGAATCGCGCGATTCGCAAAGTCTGACATCGGCCTAAGTGAAGTCAGCTTGCGTTCCACCTCTAAAACGACCCAACGTTTCCGTCTCATGCAAAGCTTGCTCAAAACGCGTACTTTACATCCAAATATGGTGCATGCAAGAGTTGAAGATAAGACAATTTTTCAGCGTCGTCAGAAAATGCCATGTTCTTAAAATTAATTTAGTTTGAAATTCAATTCAACCAGTTTTCAAGGAGTGATTTTCCACTGCTATCAATCTATTCAATCCATTGGTCTCACCTTCACTATTCAAAGCATCACCAATTTATTATCTTATTTGCAAAGCACCGTAAAATTACGTGAAGAATGGAATATTCGAGCTTTATCAGCTTTTTTGGATGCACCGTACATTCCACTTCTATTCAAGTGGTTCCAACATACGATTGCCAGTATAAAACGACTTTCAGGGGTAAGTCAAGAACAAGGAAGAGTCTTCATCTTACCAAACGAATCTAGTACTAATTACCTTTGATAGATAGACCTGGTAGGCCTTTAGAGGAAAGTTTCTCTCAGTTCTCTTGTAACGCTATGTACCACACAAAAAAGCAGTCCTTTAGTTTCGGTGTTTGCAGAGATTTCAATCTGCTCTTTTCTTCCATTGCGGTGCAACTTGCACTTGTATTCTTATTTTCTAGTAAATTAACCATATCGGCGAAAATGGAACCCTTCAAAGGCCTCATTTGTGACAAGGCTGCTTTCGTAGCAAGAAGAGCTCAACTGCCTCATGATTACCACCCAATCACCTCCTCAGTCTCAATGACACACGAATTCAACGTCATCACCGGCGCTATCGCAAGATACGGGGCAGTATGGCGGCAATGCATTTAAAATCGCGTGAAACCCCTTTTTTCAAAAACGGTACTAAGCCGCAGGCGGGTAATTCTCCCCGGAATTCCTTTCCCTTCCTTGGCTCTTAACCTAGAGGATGCTCCCATATACTGCGATAGCGCTTCATCACAAAGCTGCAAGATGAGCAATCTATCGTGGCTGAAGGGGGTGCGAGAGCTCGGGGCATTAACGCATTCTCGTACATATTCACCCTTGAGAACGCTTCAAGGTGTACACACGATTTCTTGAGACGCATTACAACCTATGCATTTTTTCGTCGCATAAATGCGAAATTTGAATTCCGAACCGTATCAGCTGGAGCAGCAGCTTTTTACTGGCCTTGTGGTGTGAATGTTATCCAGGAAGCCAATACGTGATAGATGCCCACCACCTGATAACGCGGTGATG